AGGGGTGGCTAGTTAGGAGGCAATTGGATAATCTAGGGGAAAGATGACGGTGTCTTGGACCAAGGAGGTGGTAGTGGTGTTCACAGTCTATATATTTTGAAGGTAGAGACAAGATGGTTAGCTCTTGAATTAGATGTAGGGTGTGGGAAAAGGGGGAGTCAATGATAAATTTAAGGTTTTGGCCCAAAGGGATAGAATTGTCATTTATTGTGATGAGGATGATTCTGAGGAGGAGGTTGGGAGGTAAGTAGCCAAGAGTTTAGTTTTGGCAAGTGTTTAGTGAGCATTTGGTATATGAGTTTGGAATTCAAGGAAAGGTCTCGGCTGGAGATAAAAATGTGTCCGTCACCAGTACACATATCCTTTTATAGCCACAAGACTGAGTGCGATTACCTAATGGGAAGAGTTTCAAGAACTGAACCCTGGGGCAGTTCAACATTTTGAGGTTTTAAGATATGAGAAGGGACCAGGAAAAGAAACCCAGAAGACTGGTCAGAGAGATTAGGAGGAAAATCAAGAGTGAGTAGTGATCTGGGAATCAAGAGTAGAAAAGGTTTCAAGAAGTTAGGAATTATCAACTGGGTTAAATAATACTGATTGAACAAGAGGTAAGGGCTGAGACTTTACTACTGTATTTAGCAACCGAGAGGTCATTGGTGATCTCAACAAGAATGGAAGAAGGCAAAAGGCCTATCTGAGTGGGTTCAACAGAGAACTAGGAAACAACAGTGAGTGTGGTTAACACTTGAGGGTGTTTTTGCTATAAATGGGAGTATAGACATGGGACAATGACTAGAGATGGAGTAAAGGAAGGCTTTTTACATAAAAAATTAAAGATAGAAGAAACAAAATGACCCAGTAATGAGGGGAAAAAATGATGCTTAAGAGTGGGGGGGGGCGGGAATAAGAGTAAGGGGGGAATGAGAGAGGGATGTCCACGAGAGAGTAAGAGAGATGGGGGCAAGAGAGATGATTATGATATTGGGGCCTAAAGGACTAAATCCCATTAGGCAGGATTCTGCTTTTTCTTCTGAGCACTTATTTACATTTACATTTATTTCAAATTTAATATGCTTTCTGTTTAGAAGTTAGGTTGATAAAAAGCAGTAAAACTTATTGTATATAAAATTAGTGTATCAGCTTGTTATAGTAGAAAAAGAGAAGAGATCAAATCTGTGTAAGGTGACATTTTAAAGTGTCTTTGAATGACAGTTATCTGTGCTGTTCTAATCTTTTACCAAAGTTTGTGATTGAGCATACACTGTAAACTTAATCATTTGAAATTTGTAGTGGGATGAATTTTAGCCTAATTTAAAACATGATCTAGGCCCTAGCTGGGTTTGTTCAGTGGATAGAGCATTGGCCTGCGGACCAAAGGGTACCAGGTTCCATTGCCGTCAAGGGCATGTACCTTGTCGCAGGCTCCTCCCTGGCCCCAGGCCCTGGTTGGGGCTCATGCAGGAGCCAACCAATCCATGTGTTTCTCACACACCGATGTTTCTCTCTATCTTTCCCTCTCTCTTCCACTCTCCTTAAAAATCAATGGGAAAATGTCCTCAGGTAAGGATTAATAAAAAAACATGATCTAAAAAAACCACAAAAAACCCATGATCTAGTATGGAACATTTCATTTTTCTCTGCAAAATGTGTTTGTTTAATGTATATTCTTCATGTACAGAGGTTTTAGACATTATATAAAGATAATAAGTAGTTACTATACCTTTGATTTATTGATATTTTAAATTTTACAACCAGATCAGAAATCTGAATAATTAATTTCTTTACCATTTCTAAGTAAAGCATCTGTCTGTGAGGATCTGAGGTGAATAATCTTAAGTTTGTAAAAACTCATGTAAAGTTATGTTAGCAAGTTAATATGACTAAAGCAAAAATAATTTCATTCATTTCAACTTACATATTTTGAATGTATTTTTCAAGAACAAATATATATTTTAAAAATTTGAGCAAATGTGAACATTTTGAACTACTTTAGCCAAAAGTGTGAACTGTATGTGAGAAACAAATTAAGTGGACTTTCAGTCAGCTTAACAAGAGAAAAATCAATCTTGCATTTCAGACTTAAAATAGGTTTTTTGTACCAATAGTGCAAAAAGTAAAAATTTATATATAAATCTTTTTTGCGGCTAATTTACTCATATTAAATTATAGAAATAAAATATTTCCTTTTCTTTTTTTCTCAACAATTTCCAAATAATAGTCAATTAATAATCAGTCTTCAGAGGAAACACTTTAGTAGTTCTGATGCAGTGTCTAAGAATCACTAGTCTAAAAATAATTTACTCTGTTGGGGTATCTGAACCTCTTTGGGAATCTTTTTAAAGCTGTGAATCCTTTTTCCAGAATTTTCATACATACAGAATTTAGCACATAGTATCATGGAGTTGGCAAAGGTCTCTGAAGCCCATTCCCAGGGATCCCACAGGCATAAAGGATTGCAGGCTTTAAAACTTGCCCTAGATAGCTTACTTATGTGGTTTTTCTTTAAACATTATATGTAGACTTTTCAAAAAATATTTGGCCATTATTTATTGTAGTTTGTTTGTTAGAAGAATAACTGCTGCTGCTGGTTAAGAGGAAGTGAAGTCTAATGGAAAGGCCAGTTCAGTCAAAGGAATCTTGGGGCCATAAGCTTTTCTCCAGCTTGACTACCAAACTACCTGTGTGACATTTGAGTAAGTCACTTAACCTCTATTTGTTCCTGTGCGACTCTGCAAGCAGTTGACATCATGGTAAAATTCTTTATCAATTTGGGATTGACTGCTGCTTTTTAGAGAAATGCCCTGGAGGTAAGGTGTGCCTCCAGGGTGCCTTTTTACTGAATATGACTTTTCAGAAGAGTTTAATACTTTCTCAAATGCCATGTAAGTGATAGTTAACATCCCAATCCTGTCTGATCACTTTGAGTTTAAACATGATTTATATATTCTGAGTATAAACCATTGTTATTATATGTGTTGGAATTAGCATCTCTAATTCTGTGGTTTGCTTTTTCATTCTCTTAATGTTTTGTTTTGTTTTTTGTGTGTGTGTGGTTTTTTTTTTTTTTATGAACAGAAGTTCTAATTTAAATTTAGTCCAAATTATCAGGCTTTTCCTTTTCATGATATTTTAAAATTGTAATAATTCTTAAATGTTTTTGTCCAAAGTCATTCATTGACAAATAATGCTGGGGGGGATTGATGCATAACAAATTATCCCCAGCATGAAAAAACTAACAAGAAAATAAACCTGCAACAGAGAGTTAAGGGTCCACTCAGTGAATTCATTCATTTAACAAATATTTACTGAGCATTTGCTATGTGCATGGTACTATTTCAAGTGCTACAAAATCTGTAGGTATCCATAATGTTAAGAATCTACTCTTTAAAACTAAGATATTATTGACATATAACATTGTATTAGTTTTAGAAATACAACATAATTATTTGATATATGTATGTATTGTGAAATGATTATTACAATAAACTTAGTTAATATATCACCACACATTGTTAACAATTCAAAATTGTTAAGAATCCACTTTTTAATAACCATATTATTCTATAGATTTTTGCATGATTTTTCTTTTGTTTGAGAGTTTTTCTAATTTTGGTAATTGAAATTGCCATTTTATATGGACTTGAGAACTTTAAAAAAGTACTGCTACTAAAGAAAAGGCAGGATGGAACATTTTGGAAATGAATGTTAACTGCACAAATTCAGGCCCTTTAAATTACTATATGTTTGATATGACTGCATATGATTAAATAAAAATTTTATAATCTGAATGACATGAAGACTTCTTAAAATATCCCTTGAGGAAATGAGACCATTATTGGAGTGACATCAGTCAACAAACGTGCTATGTTTAAAGCATAAGGAGGGTATTTGTAGGTGTAGAGCATGGTATGTGGAGTTTAAATAATTTAATACTAAAATATTAGGGGGAAAGTTTAAATTTGTGTTTCCTAATTTTTTTTGAGAGAGAAAAATTTGGGGCAGGAAGAGTTAAAAGGACACAGTATAGCCTGGCTTGACTTTTCTCACCTTGAAGTCAACTTAATGAAGTTTATTAATCTTTTGAAAACACAATTGATAAAAGCATCACTGAGCATTGGATTGGGATCCCAAAACCTTGATTATTTTTCCCTGACTTTTTTCCCATTGATTAAATAAGTGGCATAGAGAAAGTCACTTTTACATTACCTGAGAGGCCCAGTGCACAGATTTGTGCACTGGTGGGGGGCATAGCCTGCAGGGATTGGCCCCTTGTAGGAGTGCTGCTCATCCTGGTCAGCCGAGTGGCACTCCCACTGTGCGAGTGCACTGACCACCAGGGGGCAGCTCCTGCGTTGAGTGTCTGAACCCTGGTGGTCAGTGCGTGTCATAGTGACTGGTTGTCTGGTCGTTACACCGTTCGGTCGCTGGGCCTTTATATATATATAGATGGTTTATAGTCTAAAACAGTGAGACTTTAAGAATGTGAATGAAAAGTTTAGTTAAAATTATGGCTATACATATAAAATGCTGTGAATTTTAAAGCCTCATAGAAGACAAGTCCATTTCAAGATTAATTGAAAAAAGGCCTTTTACGTAGATCAAACTAAGGGCCAATGATGTTAGCTCAGTTTGTTAATATAAAACAACAAACAGTGAAGGTCATTTGTTGGGCATGAGAGTATATTTGTGTGTTGTTTACATGAGGTGCATTTCATTTCTGTGTGTCTCTTAGGAAAGGAAAGTCAACTTTTCCTTATCTTGAAAAAAGTGTGGAAAAGTGAAAAAACTGGAAAATTAGAGATTTAACTGCCCTTGAATTCTTTCTTGCTGTAAAAACTACCTGTCTCTTCCTTTCTTTTGGGTTTTAGTACTTTGGAGATTTTTGTGTGTTTTGTTTTTTTCTTCTTAAAATCAGATAGAGATCTTAAGGTCTTCAGCTTTTGATGACATGTCATAAATCTGTGTTTGTCATCTAATTTCATTTTCCCCTTCTGTTATAGGGAGCAAGAGTGCTGAAGGAGGGCCAGTTTCCCCAAAATTGGTAAGTACTTTTGCCAGGCAGGCAAGGTGTTCCTGATGCTAGTTGGATAATAGTTCAACTGTTCAGTGAATTTTTGCAAAAAAGCTCTCTTCCCAGAAATGAGGCTTTGCTGTTTGCACCAAGTGAAAGTGAATTTTTGTCTAATTTCGTATAGCCAAATCTCAAATGCATTTGTGTTTCTAATAATACTGCTAGGCTTGCATGTTCCTGCATTCAATAACCTGTTAAAATGTAAAGGTCCCCTGTGTCAAAAATGTCCTTAATGCAGTGGTTAGAGCTGAAAATTCACAAGTCAGGAAATTCAAAAGTTAAGGTTCCCATTGTGTTTTGTATTACTTAATATGCTGTTAAATTTCCTGGCCTTAGTATATGTGCAAAATGGCCAGGTTAATGTAACTATGGGAACCTTGACTTTGAAATTTGTGACTCTTAAGCATTTATATATAGCTTTAACTTAATGTTAGATTGGCTTCATGATAGATATTACATTTTTAATGTGTGTTGTTTTGTATAATTCTTAAAGAGGAAAAAATTAAAAAAAAAGAAATGTAGCAGTGTGGGGCATATAGGTAAACATTTTTTTTCTCTAATATCTACTTTAAAATCTACTTTAACAGCTTATAAATCATCACACTTAATTGTTTCTCTGAACGTCTAATTCAGAATCACAGATTGCTCAGGGCAGTCTAGTGACTAAGGATCAAACAAATATTAACCTTATTTGGAGAGCATGTATTACAATAAAAAATTACATTCAAACAAGATAGCTGGAATAGGGTAGTCCCCTAATGCAAAGCTATCCTTTTTGATTTTTTTGGTTTTAATTCTCTCTCTCAAATAGTAATTAACTTAATGTGTGGAGTAGATATTTGGTTAAGGCTTCTTTTTGATAATTTAGGGTCCTTGAGGTGTCTTTCTTTCCTTGTAGGGATTGGGCTTTGAACATGAAAGGGAGGCATTTGAACCAGTTAACCTTGCATTTACTCCTTTTTATTTTACTTGCCTTTCTCTCACGGAATCTTTTTAAATAAATAATCAAGACCCCAACGCCCTTTACTCTGAGATGTGATAGAATCATACAGTCTTAGAAAAGGGACCTTAAGAGGCCCTCTCTTCCAGCCTTTTACCCAATGGGGCAATTTCTTTTCCTATATCCCTAACAGATTGTTATTCGGGTACATATTTAATATTACAGTTATTTAAAAATGTAGCTCATTATTTTCTTTAATGTATTCTGAGGAACTCTAGTTCCACAGAAATGAATAAATATTACTGAGGTTGGGTGGGGGTAGGAAAATGTTCTGTAGTCAAATAATTTAGGAAATGCTGCATTAAAGTTAAACAGGTTTCTTTACTGCAGGACTTCTCAGAACCTTTAATATGCTAATGTGCATTGTGAATCTCCAAGAGGGGGATATGATATGCAGCATTCTTGAATACTTCTAATGACAGGGAGCCCACTACCTCATAAGGTAACCCATTCCTTTTTTGTACAGCTCTAATCCTTAGCTCTTCCTTAAATTGATCTGAAATCTATCTCCCATATCTTCCACTTCTATTAAGTATTTACTGGTTATGCCAAGACTGCCATATCCTCTGTGTTAACCTTTGTGTAGCAAATATGTATATGATTCTGGCCACACTTGTCTGGACTATTTTTTTGTCATTAAATAGTATTCTGGTAAATGTGGCAACCAATTCTAAAATTTTAGCCTCATTGTCACTATGCTCTTATACACTGATCTCCAGCCTTCTTCATTTTGAATTTCTGTGAATTTTTAAATTTACATCAACATTCTGATTGGGTATAGTTGGGATGATTTTAGTAAACATGCTTGATTTCTGTAAAGAAAAGTGGGAAATAGAAGAGTGTGTGTGTGTGTGCCAGCTAGGCCTGGGCCCAGGAAGCTGAGGTAGAAACGGGATGTTAGAATGAACACTGGTGGTAAGGAGAGGTGCAGGACACTGCCCCAGACCTGGGAAGGAGGGTGCTGTGGGGATTTGACCTGACTCAAAACACTCACACACCCTTGGGTTGTAATGGTATGATCTGTGTCAGTATTACTTTTTTTTTTTTTAAATGAAGACCTGGCCTCCTCCTCCCAAAAAAACAAATGGGGAAAAATGTATATTTTTTTCCTCAAGCACATTCAGACATTCAGATCATCATAAATCTAGGTGTGTGTGTGTGTGTGTGTGTGTGTGGGTGTGTGTGTGTGTGTGGTGTAGAAATTTAACTTAATGGTTAGGAAATACCAATCTCACTAGTTGAAGTGGTTTTTGTCAGCAGTATAATACCAGGATTTGAATATAGTAAACTTGTCAGAAGCCTCTAAAATCAAGATGTCCAGCTCTGTGCAGGAGCATTTTTTTTGTTGTTGACCTGTGGAGTGGTACCAAAGAGCTACCACCATAAAAACAACAATAACAGATATCACATTGGGTTTTTATGTCATTTTTATTGATTCCTGTTAGTAAATGTTAGTTTTCAATAAGTATTACTAAAATAATTTTATTATTTTTAGCATCCATGATAATTTTTAGCACTATTAGTTAAAAGTTATTGTTTTATCTCCTAACATGTTAGATACATAGTATTTTGCACAAATTAAAACCTGATATTCTAGTATTAAGCATGTGACAAGTAAGGATACATTGATCTGTCAAGACTTTCTACTTTTTATATTTAAAAAAATTATACCTACTCAAAACACTGTTCTGAGATGATAGATCAAAAGTGGAGTCTTACACCAAGTAATTCTACAGTATAGAGAACACAGAGCTAACCGTTTCTAGGGAATTCAGTCTGGGGGCACAATGTATTATGGACTTACTGTTAGTTAAAGAAACTTTGTTGACAAGTGGAGTTTTGATTGATAAAGGGTTTATAAGCAGTTCAGGAACAGAGCAGTGTTTCTTAGCAGTGAATTCAAAGTTACAGCATGACAACTTTATTAGAATCATAATGAAAGACCTGGCAGTCACATATCTCCAAGCAGAACTGTACCCAGAAAAATAGTTGGAAAGCCCTTTTTTGAAAAAAAAAATTTTATTGTTTAAAATATTATGTAAGTCTCCTTTCCCCCCCATTGACCTCTCCCCGGCTGCCCCCACTCCCCAGCACATGCCCTCACCCCCCTACTGTCTGTGTCTATTGGTTATGCTCATATGCATGGATACAAGTCCTTTGGATGATCTCTTACCCCCTCACCTCCCACCTTCCCTCATAGGTTGGTCAGTCTATTCGATCCTTCTATGACTCTGGTTCTATTTTTGTTCATCAGTTTATGTTGTTCATTATATTCTACAAATGAGTGAGATCATGTGATATTTATCTTTCTCTGACTGGCTTATTTCGCTTAGCATAATGCTCTCCAGTTCCACCCATGCTATTGCAAATGGTAAGAACTCCTTTTTTCTACAGCAGCATAGTATTCCATTGTGTAGATGTGCCACAGTTTTCTAGTCCACTCATCTGCTAATGGGCACTTTGGCTGTTTCCATATCTTAGCTATGGTAATTTGTGCTGCTATGACCATAGGGGTGCATATATCCTTTCTGATTGGTGTTTCTGTTTTCTTGGGATATATTCCTAGAAGTGGGATTACTGGGTCAAATGGAAGTTTTATTTTTAATTTTTTGAGGAAATTCCATACTGTTTTCCACAGTGGCTGCACCAGTCTGCATTCCCACCAGCAGTGCAAGAGGGTTCCTTTTTCTCCACATCCTCGCCAGCACTTGTTTGTCGATTTGTTGATGTTAGCCAGCTTTTTTAGAAAATTTAAAAATAGGAAAGCATACTATCCTCTCAGCAATCTAATGTGTTGAGACGTTTATAAAAAAGTTATGTGCCTGAATAGAAGCACTAAGTGTGTTAGGAATAGCATAGGACCTTACAGTTTACAAAGGACTTTTCACATGGTATTTACCTTATTCAAACCTCATACCATTTTTATGAAGTAGGCAGTACTGTTCCCATTTTCCTGATTTATAAGCAAACATACAAACAAATTTTAAAAACCCTGAGGCTGAGAGTGATTACATGGTGAGTAAGTGGAATCAGTTTTTTTGTTTGTTTTTGGGGACAGACAGTGTTCTTTCCATACATCACAGCTGCCTTTCTCAGTGAGACTTGATTATTGTTTTGAATGGTTGGTGGGTGGAGTTTTTATTTGTCTATGTTTTTGGTTTTTTTATTATTTGAAGGTGAGAGGCTATTAGGTGTCCCAGTGGTTTGATATGTATAGTTTTGAAGATAACAAATGTTGATATTTTGTGCCAGGCAATTGTCCTTTCTGATGGTGGCATTTAGAGCTGTTGGGTGGTGAAAGGCATTGTACTTCAATAAAATGTGTCTCTTATTATTTTGTGAAGCTGTTTATTTGTACCTACAACTTATTTGTTATTTAGAACTTATTAGAGTTGGTCAAAGTATGATAAATCATCTTTTTCAGATTTAACAAAATCATACCCTCTTTATGATGTTATAAAATGTCCCCAAATGATCTTCACATGACGGCTGCATGAGTTGTCTAAGCCCCCAAAATATTTTTAAGAAGGATTCAACATGTGCTTGCATTGTTTTTGTAAGCTATAAATATGTGTATATAATTTGTTCATTTAGGCAGAGACCAATCTCTTAAAATTGCTATCCACAACGAGCCCTTTTGAAGAAGGATATCAAATATATCTTCTAATCCCCCATAAATTTTTCTCTATAACAGGTCACTACCTTTTTAACCCTTCTTTTAAATGTTTTATTTTGAAATAAAATGAGTAATTAGCCTTTAGAGTTCTTGACAAATAAAATGTGTGTCTGTGGATCTCTAATAAGTAGACAACAATCTGATGAAAGAAGTAAAAGCTGTCAGCTCCTCAGTAACGTGAGCTGCAGGCTTCTTATCCTGCCAGGCACTCTGACATTTAGAGCCTCCATGTTTTACTTCTTCGTTTTCTGAACATTTTATTTCCTCAGTATAAAAGTTTCTGATGCTTTATCTATCATTACTCAGTTAATTTTTTGTTATTTAAAAATAAGTGCATATTTTTAAATAGCAAAATATAGAAAAATTTGAAATTTTTATACTCTGAAAATAAGAAAGTAAATAACCCTTAGTACTACCCCCAACCAGAGATAACCAATGGCAAATTATGAAAGTGCCACCTGACCCAAACTCTAGAACACTCATGGTATTACTATTTTATAAGTCTTTGTCAGTTTGATAGACAAAACTTATCTTCTTAAGATGTACACTTCAATGACTATTGAAGGTGGGTGTTTTTCATGTTTGTTGATCGTTGTTATTTCTTCTTTAGTGAATTGCTTTTTTAGTTTTTAAAAATTAATTTGTGAGCATACTACCTGTAAAATATGTTAACTCTTTGTTGTTTATATTCTAAGTTCTCCATGTTTTTAACTTGCTGTTTGTATGAGTTGAGTTGAGCTATGACATTATATGTTAACTACCAATAAAATAAAATATGGCCTTTCTATTGTTGAAAATACCCCTTTAACTTCAAGATGATTTTTAATTTGACAAATATTGTGATCACTTTTTGATACATTTTCTGTAAAATTAAAACTAATTTAAGTACTGTTTTCAGGAAGAACTTGAGTATGTAAGTCAAGAATTTTAGTAGAGAGATTATTTTAGCATTTAAAATGGAAATGGCTGTGTAGTTTTAACATGTGAGTTTGTATGTAATGTAAACTTACATAACAAAAACCTTGGTCTAAGTCAGTAACTTAATGATTCTTATGTTTTTTTGTTTATTTATTTATTATAGTTCCAAAGATTTTCTAAGATAATAAGTAGCTGAAAAGCCCAGGTTTGTTCATCAAAGTATATCTTCTTTTCCAAATTATATCCCCTAAACATATCATCTTTATAAAATTTTTGGTTGATAATATTATTGTACAATAATCCTTTTCAAGCCTCCACAAGTGAGTTTGAAGGAATTTTACACTTTTGAAATTTATTGTTATTTTAAGTTAGAGTATTTTTATGCTACAAAGCAATGTATAAGCCCTAGGGGAGAGATTGTCAGTATTGATGTTTTAAGCCTAGTGAGGTTAAGCAAATATAATAAAAACTAATATTGACAACTATATAGTCTATAGTTAATGATTTTATTATAACTGTCAAATCAGGTTTTAAAAAAGTTTTAAGAAAATGTAGGTTTACAATGGACTTTGTCCATAGATAAATAATTTATAAAAAGTGTAAAGATTATGAATCTCATTGACTTGGTTTAGGGAGTAAAGCTTATTTTAGCCTCCTGATTGTTCCCTTCTCTGTTTTTAAGAATGCTGAAAAGTTGCCCTAACTACAAGTTTTATAAGTACAAAGACGAAAAGTTTAAATTTATTCAGACAGAAGCAAACTTTGCTTTGGGAGAGTACCTAAAATCATGTCAAAAGCTACATGCAAGAAAAAAGAAAAAATATTAAAAGAGAACTTAGCCACTGAGTTAATTTAAATTGCAGTAGTGAGGAGCGGAGCAGGATAGGAAGATTCTCATATATACATCTAGACTTTTGACATTTCTCCACGTGCAGTTATGCACATAGCCAAAGAGATGCACTCAGCCTTGAAAAGAAGATAGTGTTCGTTGTAAAGCTGGAAACGTCTGTTCCATTGCTAGACCACCTCATCTGTTGTGCACAATAGATTTATTTTTAATACTGCTTTTATAACTTTGTGGGAAACATAGTTACATTGCCTTGTCTTTGTGTAAAGTATTAATTTGTTGAGTGTAAACTTCAGTGAAGTTTTCCCATTTTCAGTTTAAAAAAATTTTTAAAATACAGTATAAGTTCATCCAAATGAAAGTACTTTGGCCCTCTGTAACCTCTGAGAGATCCTTAACTTTCCAGTTCCCTCTTTGTGATGTTTAAAAATGCATGACCCTGTTGTTATGTGTCTTTCTAAAGACAGAATGTGAAGTGAGTCTTGGATGGTTGTAGTCTCCCCCTCTAAATTCCCAACTCTTTTAGGGCAGAGGGGGTCTTGTTGAGCTCTGTATCCTCAGAATTTAGTGTGTAGTATGGTACTGAGCACGTAGTAGGTGCAAAGCTGTTTGCATGACCAGGTTAAACACTGATTTTCCCCTTTCTTCTTTGAAGTGTTCTGTAGTGTAGAGGAATGTTCAAATAATAAAACCCAGAAAGTTTTTTTATCAATTCACTACAAAAGTACGCGTTTTGAAAAGAAATCTGTTTGGGAAATTTCTTGTCCTGTACTAGAGAATCAAATATTTTTCAACTATTATAAATGTATTGTATTTAACATGAATATTTCCTTAATACCTAACATAATGATCCAAAACATTGATTGATCTCTGCAGCTGCAGTGAGAAGAGGAGTTTGTTATTTTAAACGGAGGCTGAAGAAACTATAGAATTAGCAGACATAAGAGAAAGTGGAGAAGGTGGAGGATGGAGTTGCAGACTCTACAGGAAGCTCTTAAAGTGGAAATTCAGGTTCACCAGGTATGTTGCATTATTGTCTTATTCCACATCATGTTATTAAGTAATGGTTAAGATGAGTAAACAGGCCCATCTCTGATTTTTAGTACAAATTGTTAATCATCTTTCACACAGTTATTGCCCAACAGTCATGCCATTTGCTTTTTATCACTACTCAATAAACTCATTGATAATACTTTTAAGAACTTCAGTGAAATATTCCTGATTTCCTTTATACAGAAATGAACCACAAATATTTTTTTATATACCAAAGGCATTAAAAAAGAATTTTTTTCTGGGGTGATTTTTTTTTTTGTTAATCTGAGGGACTTTGTTCATGTGACTTATGACTTGTATATTTTAAATGAGACATGTTTGACTTGACTACCATGTATATCAAAGTTTTTACTCATTTACTTTTATACCTCTATTCTAGTCATTAGTAAAGAAAATGTGATTACTTTCACAGATGTTTAAATTTCACAATTCTTACATTTTACCTCAGGTACTTAGGCTAAACCATTAAAATATGGAAATTTAAAAATATATCTGATTATATTTATATGACAATAATTTTAATAAAATACATTGTCTACTAAATATAATTTATACATTAAGTATATAGAATATTTTATTTAATATAACTAACTAATATAAAAAGCTATCCTTAAATAACTAAATCATTAACATTTTTGTATAAACAGAATATCACTGTTTTATATCTTTCTGTATTCTATACATTATCTGAATGTGGTACTAGGTTTAAGACATACACATATGTAATGTTTGGTTAATAAAAAGTGATAAATGACGATGAATTAAATACTTTTGAATGTTTGGAGTGTTGGAATAGGAGAAAGGAAATGTTTTTTAAAGGTGTTTGTTCTTAGGTATGTTTTCCTTTGTTTTATCTGACTAGTCTAATGTAAGTTAATTTCTGAAATTGTTGGAAGAACACCTTGGGCTTTTGGTAACTACTGAATTTGCAAGTTGCTCAGAATTAATGGAAGAGAATTTATAGGAAAGCTTCAAAAGTATATATAATCTATACATGTATATATATAGACACAAACACACACATACTTTTTACCTTAAGTCTGTATGTTCTGCTACTTTGGATCTTATTAAAATAAACTCTTGCTCAGCAGTAGTGTTACAGTTTGCTGTGTACAGGCAGGTTTCTCTGTGTGAAGTGTGTTTTGTTTTTATGGTAACTTTAAGAAATTTAGTATGTAATAAATAAGTTATCTATTTCAATTTAGTTTATAATAAAATAAGCATATTTTGTTTTATTTGGCTTTGCTTCTGTTACTAATGGAGGAGAATAAAAATTTGTTTACAAAAACAAGCTTGTCTTTTCCAGGACAAAAGTATTTTTTAAAAATATATTGTTTTATTGATTTCAGAGGAAGGGAGAGAGAAAGAAACATTAGTGATGAAAGAGAATCATTGATTGACTGCCTCCTGCACCCCCCACACTGGGGATTGAGTCTGCAACCTGGGCATATGCCCAGACTAGGAATCGAACCCTGGTTCATAGGTCGACGCTGAACCACTGAACCACGCTGGCTGTGCTGGACAGAACTTTTTTAACATAGAGGTGTACTGATACCCAATTTGGCTGTATGGCAAATGATGACAGTTAAGTTCACAATTTGTTCGAAGCTGACATCCTCGTAGAATAAATTTCTAGAAAACAGTAATCAATCTGAAAGTTGCATGCATCAGAGATAATATAATGAGGTTGTATGTGATTTTTGGAAATATTCCTCCTCTCAAGAAATTTTATGATGACAAAGTTAATATTCTGCTTTTAGTTCATCCTCACAAGATCTGAACAAATCCCAATAAGATTTTCATGAAAGACTCATGACCTAAATTGAACTAAATTACTAAAAATTAAGTAGAGTTTTAAAATATTATTTTGTTTCATGTTTTAACTCAAGCATACTAATTTTATGAAAATAATTATGAAAAAATATAATGCTTAATTTTGTTTTAAAATTTAATTTACATTTTAAAATTACATTTGTTGACTCAAAAGGGATATAAAATTCTTCAGAAAGTTATCCCAAACACTATCTTAATATTCACATTAACTATCTATGTTATATATTTATTTTTAGCATAAAGTTAATAGCATTTATATTCATCCTTTATTATACATTTTGTTTTTGTAATAATAAACATTTATTGATAGTATTTTAACATATACACTCTATATTTTTATTCCAATTACATTTAGAATACTTTTCTGTTTTTTTTTACTTTTACTTTTCTCTTTTTAAAAAAAATTAAGTTTTATAAATAAATCCAAGTGACATGCCTTGTTTGTAAATTGGATTTTGTTGTTCTGATGAGATATGTGGTAACCTGCATGATCACCAATCATGACAAGTTCAGGGATGCCTGGAATGACACCAAAGTAGGCACTGGCTCTTAAGCTGGGACATAATTCACCCCTTGGTGCATTTCTAGTTATGGGATGAAGTTAGAACTGAGATTGAGCTTACTGGATAGAAAGTATGTTATGAAACTACCTGGTATTGTGTCACAGAAATACATTTTTGTTTTTTATGGGTAGGGAGACAGTTTAAAAGTAGCAATGTGCACATGTTTGATGTTGGATAAATGTTTAAATAATAATGGCTTGTGATGGGCATCTCATCCTTTTTTGAGAAATTGCCTTTTTGATGATTCTTATGCAGAATTGATAAAAGCCATATTTAAACTTTCAGAATATTTACTCTACATGGAACAGAAGAGTATAAAGCAGAAGTTAGCAATATTTTCTGTAAAGGGCCAGATAGTAAATGAATATATTTTATACTTTGTAAGTCACTTATGGTTTCTGTCGCAACTACTCTGCTCTGCTGCTGTACAGACAAAGCAGCCATAGACAACATATAAATGAATGGGATGGCTGTGTCCCATGTAAAACTTTATTTACAAAAACAGGTGGGTGGCCAGATTTGCCTGTGGGCTGTAGTTTGCCAGCCCTTGGTATAAAGTATATCCTCATGAAAAATTATATTCTCTTTTAAATTTTGTCTTATTGCTTAAAATATTACAAAGAGTAGTACATATGTCTCCTTTTTCCCCCCCCGCTTGGCCTTCCCCTGGCTTCCCCTAACCCCCAGTGTCTTGTGTCCATTGGTTATGCTTATAAGCATGCATACAAGTCCTTTAGAAAGTAACCTAAGTTTGATAACACAGTGTCAGCTTAGAGTCACTAGGAATTTGGATGGTCTAGTTAAGTTGCCCAGCATGTTCAGTCCTGCCTCTGATGATGTAAAATGCAGCTTGACTGCTTACAGATAGATAAGTTATTTCCTCAGAGGTGGAGACTTAGTGTGGTTATCAGTCAGCTTTTAAATTCTAGTGTCGTGGAAGAAAATCCGTTTTAGCTTTAAAAAGGCAATTTTAGTATAGTTGTCAACTCTGTGGTAATCAAATCGAAAGGAAAACCAAATTGAAGAGTGTGGTCAGCCTTTAAGCGGTGTTAGTAAAAATGCATATGTATAAAAGCCTTGCTGTTCAATTTCACTGAGCTCTTGGAATGTGTGTTATTACTATTTTGTTATTAAGACCAGGATACACAAGAGTTACTATTGTCACATGTGAAGTAACATGTATAGTAACATACATACCTTGTGTATTTGGAGGTCACATGGTTGGCAACTTCAACTTTCTAGAATGTAGCTCAGCATGTGAAGTAAGGCTTTTGACCAACTAGAATAAATGTTAGAAGTCATTTACTGAAGATTATACAATAAAAGCTGACAGGTTTTTAAAAATATTTTTTAAATTAATTTCAGAGAGCGAAAAGGACGGGGAGAGAGAGAGAGAGAGAAACATCAATGCTGAGAGAGAATCATTGATTGGCTGCCTCCTGCACGCCCCCTACTGGGGATCGAGCCCACAACCCGGGTATATGCCCTGACCTGGAATGGAACCATGACCTCCTGATTCATGGATCGACGCTCAGCCATTGAGTCACATTGATGGGGCCACAAAGCTAACAGTTTTAAATGTAAGAAGGTAGATAAGTATATAGTACATATTAGATTTTATTTTATGACTAACAAAATTTAAAAGTGCCTTGTTACCCAAAAGAGGGACAGATTTTTAGTTATATGGATTCACTTGGGGAATAGCTTATTTCCAGATAACTTTTAGGAATCAGCTTTCTGATATACCTTTATCTTTCAGGTTCTTCTCTCACTGGTTATGGTTATCTTTGGACAGTGATGCTTTTAGAAATTGGGTTAGATCAGACAGCATCCAATTTTCTTTGTTTTTCATTTGTTTGGACTTCTGTTTTCCTTAGTAAAGGTCTTTCTCATTCAATATTCTGGTAGTACTCTCTTTCCCAGAGGAACCCAGGTAGGTAGAGTTTTGCATTATTGTTCCTTCACTTCTTTACTCTCAAATACTGAGCCTCATTGCCCTACTGAGTACATCCCATCCCATCCGCCCGCCCCCCCGCATGGAGAAGACAGTGGCAAAGTCAGATCTGACACTGGGCGCCTCTGCACTTTGCTGTATACGGACAGGCCTGTTCTGTATGGGAGCAGCTTCTTTGTAGGCCTTATTTAGGACTCTACCCAATGACAACATTTTAAAGAGATGTTTGGCTTATGGAGCATACAGCTTGTTTAAATTGCCTTTTAAACTCCACTCCCCACCCTCATCCCATTTTCAGATTTGTTAAAAAGCAGGAGCATTTCATTTCAAATATAAAGTGGTAGTTTGATTATTCCCCCTCCCCCCTATATTAAGAGGAGTGTCTTATTAATCTTTTATATAGATCACAGAAGCTTTTTGTTCTGATTGTGGTATTGCTCATTTTTGTGTGTGTGTGAATCATAAAACTCTATATTTGGGGGGGCCAAACCTGATTTGCCATAGTGAGTTAATATGGAAGACTGATGGCTCTTTTTCTCTTTATTACCAGAAACTGGTTGCTCAAATGAAACAGGATCCACAGGTAAAATACTATTTTAATTCATTTAATTTTTAAATTAAAATAATGTAAAGCAAAGTGATCATAAAAATACTAAAATATAGACCAGTACATAAGTTTTTAAAAACTATCTTATCTCTCACAGCAATTATATTAGCATATTGGTCTTATGTTTTAAGGGTTTACAAAAATCCAGTTATTATCTTATAATATAGATATCATTTCATCTTTGTTACTGTTAGTTGCTTTTGTGTTAATTGCTTTGAGTATTTTGGGGGGAAAGTTGAGAGTTTAAATTTCATTTCTATAAGCCCACTTACTCAAAATCAGTTTGTGAGGCTTTCTATAATCTCACAAGTATGGAGTAAAACCCAGAACCATTCTTATTTTCTCAGAGTTTATAGTAGAGATATAGTACAGAACATTTAAATATTTAATCACACTATATTCAGGGTAAGAATTTTAGAATACGTTTTAAAAAGCATTTTTTTTTTAAATTTTTGAAAGAGCCCTTAATCCAGCAAGTGTTAATTTTTTTAAAAATTCTCATATGAGTTTTAAAAAAATATTTTTTTTATTGATTTTAGAGAAGAAGGGAGAGAGAAAGAGAAACCTCAATGATGGGAGAGAATCATTGATTGGCTGCCTCCTGCAAACCCCACAATGGGAATCGAGCCCACAACCCAGGCATGTGCCCTGACTGGGAATTGAACCCATGACCTCCTGGTTCATAGGTTGATGCTCAATCAATGAGCTATGCCAGCTGGGCTCTCATAGGAGTTTTTGATTTAGACATTTTATTCTCTATCCCTGAAGAGAAATCTTCCTAGAATGTTATCTTGTCTTTCATGATTGTATTTATTTTTCAGGCAATGTCTCTTTTGCAGCCTTAGACAACAGGTCATAAGTGTGGAGAGTACAGACTCTCTTAGGATTTCTCCCTTGTATTTGTTGACTCATAATCTGGTCACGAAACAACTAAACCCATTGATGGGTACTCAGATGTATGTGTATACATCTTTAGCTTGTTAACATACCATATATGCCTCATTGTAAATTTAAGTAAAATAAATTCTTGAATTGAGGAATGGTACTGGGACAGATTGATTTTTGGAAGTAGGAATAATAGTCATTTAAAAAATTTTGTACCCAGTGCTTTAACACAATCCATTGATAGCCCACACTTAATTTCTATTTGACATTTGAACTTTGAGAAGCTTCTCCATGTTTATTTATTTTTAAAAGATATTATTTAAATTAGATTTAGGGAACCAGGATGTAGACCTTAGATTAATAGATTCTTTTATATTTAATATGGTAACCTTTATTATCAGCAACTGAAATATTATTAGAAATCATTAGCATTTCCCATAGAGCTGGTGGCCAGGTAACAGCAGTCTTAATGCAAAAAATCTGAGGGAGCAGTAAGTTGTTGGGCAATCTTGTGGGTGATTTCATTATATATCTATAATAATCTATAATAATAAAAGCATAATATGCTAATTAGACCAGACATCCTTCCGGGCAACCTTCCAGACGAAGCCGGGGCTGCAGCCGTGGCTGCGAGGGATCCAGGTAGCTGCACGGCTGCGAGGAAGGGATCCAGGCAGCCACCACAGCTGCGAAGGCCTACTCTTGCACAAATTTTGTGCATCAGGCCTCTAGTGTGTGTGTGTGTGTGTGTGTGTATATGTGTGTGTGTGTGTCCTATATAATAAAAGGCTAATATGCAAATTGACCGAATGGGGGAACAACTGGTCACTACGATGCGCACTGACCACCAAGGGGCAGACACTTAATGCAGGAGCTGCCCCCTGGTGGTCAGTGTGCTCCCACTGGGGGAGCGCCACTCAGCCAGAAGCCGGGCTCACAACTGATGAGCACAGCAGCGGTGGCGGGAGCCTCTCCCACCTCCGCGGCAGCACTAAGGATATCCGAGCAGTCCTAAGCCATTAGTCGGACATCCCCCAAGGGTTCCCGGACTGTGAGAGGGTGCAGGCCAGGCTGAGGGATACACCCCCCCCTCCAGTGCACAAATGTCGTGCACTGGTCCTCTAGTATATTTATATTTATTTATTTATATATATATTTTTTTTTCATACACACACACACACACACACACACACACAAACACACACACACATATATACATACATACATACATACATTCATACTAGGGGCCCGGTGCACAAAAATTTGTGCACTCGGGGGGAGTCCCTCAGCCCAGCCTGCACCCTCTCACCATCTGGGACCCCTAGGCCTGGCCTGAGATCAGGGTCTATCACGGCTTTCCTTCCCCGGCTGCAGGCAGTTGGCCCCACCCCTGCTGCTGCCACTGCTTGCCATCTGTGCAGCGCTGTCTCCCCCTCCCCCTGCCACCAGTGGCCTCCCTCTGCAGGCGACAGGCGTGGGGTGCGATGGCTTGGATGGCCTGGGCCTCCCTCTGCAGGGCGATCACTGGCTGGCCGCACACCTGCCACAGAGTCGCCGCCGGTGGCCTGGGCCTCACTTTTCCTTTGCTGGGGGATGGGGCCAGCCCTGCGAGGGACCATCTGCCTACCTGATCACCCTTAACCACTTGCTGCCTACCTTATCACTCCTAAATGCTTGCTGGGGGGCGGGGTCAGCCCTGTGAGGGGGCATCTGCCTACCTGATCACCGCTAACCACTGGCCTGCCTACCTGATCACCCCTAACCACTCTGCCTGCCTGCCTGATCACCCCTAACTGCTTGCTGGAGGGTGGGGCCAGCCCAGGGAGGGGCCACCTGCCTACCTGATCACCCCTAACCGCTGGCCTGCCTACCTGATCACCCCTAACCACTCTACCTGCCTGCCTGATCGCCCCTAACCGCTTGCTTGGGGGCGGGGCGGAGCCAGCCCAGCAAGGGGCCATGGTGGTTCTGGTTTCTGGTTGTTCTGGTTGTTACACTTATGGTGGCTGGCCTTTTATTATATAGGATCTATATATAGATAGATATAGATATATACACACACACACACACACGCACGCACACACACACACATTCTTATTTAAAAAAGACCACGTGTCGTAATCATGAGAGGAAGGATGTGTGCCCCAACCTGATAGAAGACCAGGCAGGGCTAATGGAAAGAATTGCATGTGAGATGATGAAGAAAAAGTGATCTCATTGGGGTGGTGTTCAATCTGCTAGTAGGCTATCCAATATTAAGCATTAATCTTGCTTTTTAAATCTTGGATTTTTTTTGTTTCACTTGAGTAAAACGCAAGCATATTCAGTGTATCTCATCTAAAATAGTATTCTTTTTTGAATCCTAGAATTTGAAAACTGAGAGAATGCCCTGGTAGTCGCTGTGTTCATTTGAATGATATAGTGTCAAGGCATTTGTGGCACTGACAGCTTTTCAAATCTAGGCTAAAATAACAAATGCACTCTACTAAATAAGGGAGAGGCAAGGCAAAGATACTTACAACTTCCATTTTCCTGTTTTTGTCTGATTAGTGGAGCTTTGGGTTTTCCGTCAAAGAATAACAATATTTTTAGTAGAAAGGTGTACTATTTTACATATGCTAAACTATAAAACCTCTTATAATTTAAAGCAATTGCAAAGGAGCTGCCCAGGTTCTAGTGTTAGGAGCCTACATTTAGGATCTATGCATTAGGTAGTGGTAATGTGACTACAATTTAATGCATGATGAATTTGATTGGCTAAAATGCTTAAGTTTGCTTCATCATTTGTAATGCAATATGCATAAAGTCTTCTTGCTACTATTCTGTTAACAAATGAAATATCTTTCTCACAGATATTTTTTCTTTCCAATCAGAATGCTGATTTAAAGAAACAGCTTCATGAACTCCAAGCCAAAATCACAGCTTTGAGTGAGAAACAGGTAGGGGAAAAAGGAGTGTGTGTGTGTGGCGGGGGGCTGCGGGAGGCGCGTATTTTTAACATTGTGTTCTAAAGATATGTCTGCTTGAGGCTTCTAGGAGAACTGCTATTTTTCCTCATGTGTGAAAATAAGTGTGGGCAGCCAGACTCAGTTTTAATTTTGTTTGAGATCTGTTTATCTATTTTTATTTTTGGTTGAAATCAGTCTCTAGAGTATCCCATGGATATATGTTCCTGGTAAATATCGAAAAGCGGTGTGGCAAGCTGCTGTTAACTGTGTTAATTAAACTCTATACTTTACCCATAGAGGAAAAGGGTAAAGAAAGTTAGTGGGAGTACGTGATAGCTGCTGGATATGCTTGTTACTGTTCTGAAGACTTGAAATAACATTTAACTAACATGGAGATAATGATTGTAAACAGATTACTCTACTAGTAAATACAGGTCTCCCATTCTGATTTTTGTTATACCTTTATGTTAATCTGTATTAGATATTGACGTGAAAAAACTTTGATTAAACCTTGTTAGATTTATTTTATATAGAGCAAGAGAAGAGCATCTTGCTTTTTCAATCTGGAAAGCATGTTTTGGAATTTCTTGTATAATGACCTCCACTTCACCAATTCAGGCAGCTCCTGCCACCAGGTGGAGTGTGACAATTGATAGAGCTATAAGTAAATGTCTGTGGTAATCTGACAAATCATTGTTTTCTTGTTCCTCCTCCACCCTTCCTCTGATTAAAAGGAGCAGTTTTCTATTTTGGAGGAGGTGAACGTGTGAACCAAAATGATTAGTTGATTTGCAACTGATAGTTAATGCTAGTGATATCTCATTGAAGATTTTTGACTGAATAGTTCTCAGTAATTGATTTTATGTTGTTTTTTAAACTTTAGTGAAATAAAGGCGTTGAGAGTAATTTATTTCTGGAGATTTTTTTGTAATTGTATTCTGTTACAGTGTGTGAGGAGAAAAATAAATCTTGAGAACTATGTGGAATAGTTATGAGTTGTTGCTGTTTCAGAATAGAATATTTTTCCAGCTGAGTGAACAACTGCTTTTTTTCCCCCCTTCCTGTTTTAAGCTACTATGTTTCCCCATCTTGTCTTCTCCAGAAACTAGAGGTGTTTTGGATTAGGAAATTGCCACACTCAAATTGGGAGAAGATGGCATGGTAGAGAACAAGTTTTAAGGAAAAATATAAACAGAGTTTATTAGTATATATTTGACTCTGATAGTGAGTCAGTTCTCTGAAGTCAAAATGATGTGTTTTAGTGAGCGTTCTAGCTTTAGAATTGTGTTAGTGCTGAGCCTCCTATAGTTTCAGCGTTAGTTTGACAAGATGCCAATGAATGAGTCATTTGCTGAAAAATTCACGTGTTCCAGCTGAGAACTGATTAGTGGAGTAAGGATGGGGTCTGTTGTCACAAAGTTAACCTAAGGCTACATTTGAGGAAAATGGGGCAATTATAAATAAGTACATTTATCTTAAGTTTTTGTTTGTGAGCATTGATACAAAGATTTGCTTTATTTCTGTAACTTTTTATTCTTTAATTTTTTTCTATTAGGGGTCTAGCTTAATAGAAAATTGTAACCATTTATGTTCAGTAAGGTATTTCATCAAGTGGTAAATTCTGTCATCTGAACTAAATTTGGATTTTAGAAACTAGAATTTTTAAAAATGGGTCTAGTGTCAGTAAAGAGAACTAGAGTCAGAAACTGAAATGCAATCTTGCAGTTTTATTTGCTTAACTATTTAAACAGCCTTTTTGATAGAACAGGGAATGTACCATTGTTAGGTAGGATAGTACTTGAGGAAACACAGCTGTAAAGTTCAAAAGCGGGTCCTTCTGCAGACTTATTTCCAACATGAAACATTGATATTTAGTTTAAAATAGTATTATTTTAGAACAAACTGTTAATGCTGAATGCCCAGCTTTTTGTGTGTCTTTTTTCCTCACAAGATCCACTTAGCCTCTGGGAAAACTTAATGATTTTCCTTCAACTTTAATAACTAAAATCTAAATTACCTTACTTGCATGACTATTATTTTAATTTAACATTAATATTTTGGTTGTGAGAAAAAATGTAAATACAGAATACTTCAAAGAATGTCATATTCCAGAATTAACACTGATTAACCCTTTGTCATTATTTGTTTCCATTCTTTTTCTATATGCATTTTTCTATAATATTTTCTATTCCACTTGAAAATTCAATTATACAATAGATGCATACATTCTCTTACTTTGCTTTATTAAAAAACAAAATTTGCAGATAGCCATTAATTCTTACAGTAAGCACTTATTTGTTTTTATTTGTTATTGCTCCTGCAATCTTTGATACTTATTCAATTTCTTTCTCAAGACATTATGAAATGGGACCCTTTATTTGGAAAAATATGGTCTTTAGGGAACATCCTTCATGGCTAAAACTTAGTGAATTTTATTGAATTCTTAGTTAGAAAGTTCCAGTGCTTTCCAACTGGAACTTGAGGTCTCTGAATAGAAATTTTCCATGGCAGATTTTGAAGTCAACTTTTGACCCACGGGGTCAGGTTGACAGTTTTTAACTTAGGAAATCCCTAGATTTGATTGGCTACAGAAAGTATATGTTATATAATCACTCTCATGGTTTCAGAAATGTTTTTGTGACATTGGGAAGTGCTCATGGTAAAATAATTGAAAAGCACATGCAACTTCACATGCATTACAGTCCTGTTTTTGTGTGTGTTGTAGGTATATATGTGTATACAAGTGTAAATGTGTATAAAAACAGTGTCAGCATATGTTGTTGGAAGGTGATGAATTTACAGGTAGTTTATTTTTTCTTTATATTCTTATATACATTTGCTAAATTCTCCACAATAAATGTTTCCTTTATAACTAGAAATAGACAAGAAATAATAAAAATAATTAACACTGAACTCTTGCCTGTATCAGGAATAGTTAGCATTTAAAAGTCTAATGACATTCTCCTCGTGAAATATTAACCTCTCTAATCAGAAAATCCAGCTATTTTATTTATTTTTTATTTTTAAAAAAAATATTTTATTGATTTTTTTTTACAGAGAGGAAGGGATAGGGATAGAGAGTTAGAAACATCGATCAGCTGCCTCCTGCACACCCCCCACTGGGGACGTGCCCGCAACCAAGGCACATGCCCTTGACCGGAATCGAACCTGGGACCCTTGAGTCCGAAGGCTGACACTCTATCCACTGAGCCAAACCAGTTAGGGCTGAAAATCCAGCTATTTTAAATACTATTAATACTGAAGTGTGAAAGCAATTATTAATTTCTTTAACATAGTTTATTTTCATTCTGCATTCCTCCCTCCTCATTTTTGACATGCATATGTGGTCTTTTGCTTGTCAGGGTACAGATGCTGATACTGGGGGCACAGCACTTAGTTGCTTTAGTAGTTTGCTTTCATTTTAGTGCATTGTAGAAGCAATCTTAACATCCCAAAGTATGTTGCTTGATCCTGTGGTGATTCAGGCTTAAGCCATAGTAGTTGCATTTTTTATTTCCCCTTCCTTGAATTCACAGTTTGCTCCCCACCCCTACCTTCCTTCTCCTGGTGCTCTCTGGCCAGGCATCAGGTAGCAGCTTAGTTACTTCCTCAGAAGACCTGTCTCTGAAACCCCATCCTCATGTTAAAATCAACTGTTTCTATTATAATCTCTCCTTGAACCTTTCACTTTTCCTTTATAGCTATCCCATTTAGGATTAGGTTCAGCTTTGAATGACTAAAAACTCAAACTGAAAATGGCCTAAACAAGGTAGAATTTTATTTCTCTCTCATGTAAAAGTTCTGTAGGTGGACTATGCTGGTGGTAGTGGTGCCACAGTTTCAGGGAACCCAGGCTCCTCCTATTCTGTTGCCCTGCCATTCTCAGTATGAAGCCTCCACATCATAGTCCAAAATAGCTGCTCCATCTGGTAAGAAGGGGGAAAAGCAACAAAGAGCAACTCCTTTATTTTTAAGGATGTTTACTGGAAGTTGCACGGGCCACTTCCAAATTAGATCCCATTGGTCAGAATTTAGTCAACTAGGAGCAAGGAAAGTCAGAAGTGTAATCTATTCCAAGTGGTTACCGCCAAATAAAACTCAGGGACTGTGGTACTGAGTAAGAAGGGGGAACATGCTGGCGATAATTAGTAACTTCGGCCACAATAGCTTATTACAGTTTGGAATTACATGTATGTGATCATTTTTTAAAGTATCTGTCTTCCTCACTAGACTATGATTTCCAGGAAATCAGGGAACATGTTTGTCTTACTTTGAGTATAATACTTAGTATTATTTAGTATAAGATAACATTTAGCAAAGAAAAGCATTTGTTTCTTAAATGAATTATTTTATCCAACTGATCTTTTTCTCTATTTGTATATAATTTTTTAAAACAGTGCATCTTGTTTTATATGCTTTTTAAATTTAAAGTATGAATATGTTCTTTAAAAACATGATATTTAGTAGCTTCAAATATTTAATGGTCTGGCTAGATCATAATTTATTTAATCCTTTATTAGTTGATGGTAGGATGTTTCCAGTTTTTCCCTAATATAAATATTGCTGTGATAAACACCTTTGTATTGTGAACCTGTTTCTTTGTGATTGCCTTGGGATAGATTCTTAGGTATGAGATTACTGGGTATAGTGGTCAGCTACTGCCATGACAGTTCTGTATAACAAACCAGTGTTTTATTGAGGGGCTTATAACACTAAGTGTTTATTTTCACATTGGGTCTGTAGATCACGTGGACTTCTCCTGATAGAGGCTGGACTTGGCCAGCCACATCTACTTCAGTTTGTGGGTGGGTTGGTTGCTCCTGCCTCCAGACTGCAGGTTGGGTTAGGTCCACTCCAAAGTGTTCATTCTGAAACCTAGCATGAAGAGGCAGCAGCTCCCTGGGCCATCCTCATTTCATGGCTTATAACCTGAATGCAACAAACAAGCCAAACTACTGAAACATGTTTTAAGCCTCTGCTGGCATCAATTC